AACTTCCCTGGGCGCAGTAGGTCGGCGAGCAGATGATCTCTAGGTGCAGCTCTTTGGCGAAAGGGGGCACGGAAAGCACAGACCGACTGCCCTTCCCATCTGCCGCGCCGGTTCGTTCGTACCTCTGCAGAGGGGATGGGGCGCAGCGTGAGCCCCCGCTGCCGCCGGCGCGCTCCCTGGGGTGCCCGGCCCCGGCTCACCTGCAGGCGGAGGTGGGCGGCAGCAGCAGGGTCGCAGCCCAGGTTGAAGGCCAGGGCGGGATGCAGCAGCGCGGCACCGTCGGCCGGGCAGCGGCGGGCGGCCCGCGGGTACTCCCAGGGCGGCGGCCGGGCCAGCAGCGCCGCCAGGTGCTCGCGGGCCGCCCCCTCGGCGCCCACCCGCACCCACTCGCCCTGGAACAGCCCCAGCGCCAGCAGCCCGCGCCGGCTCACCCACACCTCGGCCCCGCCGCCGCCGCCCGCCCCGCCGGGCACGGCCCGCAGCCTCGGGCCGGCGGCGGCGGCGGCGAAGCGGGACACGAGGGGCGGCGCGGCGGGGGCCCGGCCGCGGGCGGTGCCCGGCGGGGCGGGCGGCGGCGGGGGAGCGAGGGCGGTTCGCGTCCCGCTGCCCAGCAACCCCTGGAGGGCCGGGCGCGCCTCCAGCACCAGCGGGCCCGGCCCCGGGCCCGGCCCCGGCAGCGCCTCACCCCGCCGCGCCAGCACCGCGCCGCCCGCCGGCCGCCCCGCCCGCCCCGCCGCCCCCAGCAGCACCCAGGCGAGCGCCGGTGGGCGCCGCACGGGCCACACGGCCACCCGCCGGCCCGGCGCCAGCCCCAGCCGCCGCAGCAGCGCCCCGCGCAGCCACAGCTCCGCGCCGCGCCGCCCGCCCGCCTCCAGCGCCACGGCGCTCAGCAGCACGGGCTGCGCCCCGCCGCGCCCCGCCGGCCGCACCGCCAGCACCAGCGAACCGCCCCGCCCGCGCAGCGCCGCGCACAGCCCCGGCGGCGCCAGCAGCAGCGCCGTGGCCGGGGCCAGCTCGGCCGGCGGCGCGTCCAGCGGCCGCAGCACCGCCACCGCCATCGCGCCGCGGGCACGGAGCCGGGGGCGGGCCGGGGCGGAGCTCGACGGCCGTCCGCCCCGCCGAGGCCACAGAGCGGCGGCGCAGAGCGGCCCCGGCGGCTGGGACGGTGCAGCGCGCCCGAGCGGCTGCGCTCGTTCACCTTCTCCGAACCGCGCCGGCGACAGCGACACTCCGTGACGCTGGCCCGGTCCTCCCCAGGCTCCAGCAGGTCTGCAGCCGCAGGCTGCGAGAGGTGGGAAAAAGCGGGAATGGGGCCAAAAAGGCCGGCGAGGCTTTTGCTGCTCCGCAACTCCCTGTTCCCGTAAGTCTCACAGCAACAGAGTGTGGAGTCGGAGGGAACTGGCACTCAGGGCAGAGCAGGGTGCCTCGCCAGTGAGATGTTGTGGGCTGAATACGTGCCTTTGGCTTAGAAGAATGCACTTGTATTGGTGCTAGTGCTGAACTAATCTTGGAAATCATAGACTTAGAATATCCTGAGTTGGAAGGGACGCATCAAGACCATGAAAGTCCAACTTCTTCCTGTGCACAGGACAACCCCAGCAATTGCAGAAAATGCCTGAGAGCATTGTCCAAACACTTGAACTCTCTCAGGCTTGGTACTGTGACCACTTCCCTGGGAAACCTGTTTCAGCACCCGATCACCCTCTGGGTGAAAAACCTCTTTCTGATATCCAATCTAAACCTCCCCTGACACAGCTTCACAACCATTCCCTCAGGTCCTGTCACTGGTCACCCACAGAGAAAAGATCAGTGCCTGTCCCTCCGCTTTCCCTTGTTAGGAAACTGTAGACTGCTATGAGGTGTCTCCTCACTCTCCTCATCTTCAGGCTGAACAGACCAAGTGACCTCAGCCTTCCTCTTATGTCTTCCTCTCTAGAACTTTCACCATCTTCGTAGCCCTCCTTTGGGTTTTAATATCTTTCCTGTATTGTGGTGACCAAAACTGCGTACAGCCCTCGAGGTGAGGCCACATTAGTGCAGAGTAGAACAGGACAGTCACCTCCTTTGACCAGCTAGTGATGCTGTGCCTGATACATCGCAGGACACAGCTGGCCTGTATCTGGAGAAAGTCAGAGCCTCTGATCAGTGCTTGTGGCCTCAGCCAGAACCCAGCTTGCTCTGGGTAAGACGCTGCTCGTTATACAATGTGTCTGCTGGTGATACAAAACGTGAGTATAGAAACACAAACCCTATAGGATTCTTTAATTGCGCATCCAGACACCCCGTGCGTGTCGCCTCACAGCTAGACAGGGGTCTGTGGGAATAAGGGGAAGAAGTGAAGCTTTCAGTTGCCTCTAAGGCTCCAGCCCGCCTTTCCCCCCGTTCCTGGGCCGCTCGCCCTGTCCCATCGCCCCTCTCCACACGAGGGAGCGCTTGCAAAACGTTCGTACTCACTCCCTAACCTCCCTGAAAATCCAGCCAGCGACTTGAGAGGATCGGCAAAAACAAAATGCCGGTTCGAAATGAATATTTCTAAGAAATGGCACCGTGAAGATGCTTCCGCAAAGGTAGCCCTGCAGCCTTCTCTGTTCTGGGCCCATCAAGGAGACACCTTCTTGCAACCCCCAGACGTGCATGCCTGACAGTCAGCTTCCAAGCCAAGAGATGCCAAATTGTAGCATTTTATTTCTTTTGCCCTTTCTTCATTCCTTCTTCCATGATTGGTTTGGCAATCCTGTAAGTCCCTGGCTAGTACTGAAAAAATCTGCATGTGCCAGGGCAGGTGGCAGCCCAGATGAACTGAGGTGAAGCTGTAGCAGCTCTGGCTTCTGAACACTGGCTTTGAATTTACTGACTCCTCTTGCCTGAGCCACATGGAAAGGATCTCCCACCTGAACAAGCCCAGCACTTGTGGCTGAGGGACACCCAGGGCCCCTCACAGAGGGATGCTCATGGCAGCCAGGCCCTGATGTGGTCACCAAGACAGCTCCTGGGTCTCGTATATGCAACTCCACTGCAGCAGTGGAGATATGTGCAAGTGGCAGCCACTGCCTTAAATCAGGGTTTCTTCTGTTGCACTGTCATGACTGGGCCAGGCCTGAACCAGCACTGGCAAGAGCCGTGGCTGGGTTTGGCTGCCACTAACCCCAGGATGGATCAAATCTGAAACAACAGCAACAAGAATATGCTGCCCTACTCCTGTTGCAACTCCAACCACAATGACATATGGAGCACTTCCCTGCCAGGTTTAGCACAGGCAGCTAAGAGGCAAGTGACTGCCTACTCCAAGGATTGTCCTGAGGATTGCCTTGCCACCAGGAACTGAGCCTGGGCAGTCACTGTCATCCATCCACCAGCATGTGCACCCCCCCAGTTACTTCCCAGCACATGAAAAAGTGCCTTGGGCCAGTGGCTCTCCCCTTGGCTCCTCTTTCATAGCATGTGGTGTGGTGAGAGCTGGGAGCCTACAAGGCACTACCAGGAGAGTTGTCTGCCTCCCGCACAGGGCTGTAACTGTAGTATCTCCCCTTGTAGCAGTTGTGGTGGTGACATGCTTGCTCTCACAGCACTGCACTGGACCCAGCACAAGGCGAAGAGCCAGACCATCTGCATGCAGGCAGAGAAAAAAAAAAAAAAACAAAAAAAATTGCAAGCATCCAGTGCCAGCATGGCACAGCCCAAATAAAAGGTTTGCAGATGCTGCTCAGGCAGGATTAGGCCTCCAATGTGTTAAGTCTCGGCTCTCGGTGAGCCTAATTGCTGCTGCAATAAGCCCTGGCTGGTCCTTTCCTGAACTCTGCTCTCCACAGCCCCCCCAGCAAACATTTTTTTCACTGCAAAGCAAAAGCCTGTGTTTGCCGTGAATATGTTACCCCTGGTAAGGTCTGGATAAGCAGCGGAGGGTAAAGGTGGGAAATCTGCACATGCCACTTATTGCTCGGCTCTTCCCAGCAATTGTCCCTCCACTCTCCCCCTAATCGTCCCTCCACTCTCCCCCTGTGCAGCACAGCTTGTGTGCAGGGAGCCAGGCCCAGCAGCAGAGGCAGGAACAGGTGATAGCATCATTACATGGCCACACACCCTGAGCTGTATTAGGAAACTTTCCAAATTGGAATTACTCAGATTTTAATAAAACCTTTTGATAATTTTCCGTTATGTTTTGGCTGGCAGACGAAACTGGAGGTGTTCCAGGAGAGCTGTCACGGAGTGTGCACGGGCCAGTTCAGCAACTGCCACAAGATGTGCCAAAGGAAGGTATAAATTGCAATGTAGAGAATGAAAACCAAAGATACACCACAATTTTATTTATGGATGTGTAATAAATAAATGGTGGACAATACAGGAAGAGCCACATTCAAAAATCCAGATCACTAAAGTGCTTTTAGACACAATATAGGGCAACCAAGAAACAGCTCTGACATTAACATTTTTTACAGACAATTACAAAATATCTTCTTCTGACAATTCACAAAATTGTTTAATTGCTCTGGGGTACTATGGCTTGCTTTTCAAAAAGATTTGTTCTATTATGCATAGTGCTGCAGGTAACATTCAAGAGTGTACAAAATCATTGCATAAACAAAAATATCTTTACCCCCTTCTCCCAAATATGAGTTAAGGAAGCTACACAGTGTAAATCCAGTGATAAGGCTGCATTGGCAGGCCAGATCCTCAGCAAATATAAACCTGAGTGTTTATACTTCCTCAGGTTACACCGGCTTGAGGATGAACCCTACAGTGTTTAAAAACCCTGCTTATCCTCGAGGTGGAAGAATTGCATGTTCAACGTGGAGGGACTTGCACGTGGGCGCTGTGCTTGAAGAAGACATCTGTAAACTCCTGCACCGTCTTTGCACCTGCGTGTTGGAGGAGGGAGCGACTCCCATTGCGTTGCTCCTCTTTGTGCTCCTGGCTAGCCGGGGAAGTGGTCACAGCCCAGAAGGAAAGGGTGGCTCTTCCCCAGCAGCAGTCCATGCTGACCACAGTGTGGTCCCGTTTTCACACTGCCAGGACACTTCTCCCACCTTCCACCCTGGCTCTGCTGAGAAGTGAACAGCTTGAAAGTGAGGGGACAGGGGGATGTGTGTGCTCAGTTTTAAAATGCCCTGAATTCAGATAGAAGTTCCATTATTTAAGAAAAAAATATATATATCAATAAATGAATAAATATTATCTCACTAGGATCCTGTGAAGTCTGGCCTCCTCCAGGGCAGCCCAAGCTCAGTGGTCCCTGTCGTTCTGCTCTGGGGGGGGTGTCCCGTTGATGCACTGCCTCAGTACACCCCTCTTCTCATGCTTGGCTGTCCTGGAGAGGTCGATGGCTGTGTCCTCTGAGTCTTTTGCAGGGCCAAGCTTGTCGGAGCCCTTCTGGGAACTGGCCTGCTTCTCTTTGAGTTCCTCCTCCTCCTGCTCCGTTCGCCAGCCATCTGCCAGCTTCTCTTGGCTCTCTGCCTTCCTGCTTACCTCCATGGATTTTTTGTGCATGCCTACCAGACGGGAGAGAGCAAAGGCAAGGGTGCTGGTTGCTTATTTCTGCCTGGGACTGCTCATCATCACCTCCTGCACTCCTGCTGCTCCCTTCAGTTCTCACTTGCATTCTAAGGAAAACTCTCTCTAGCTACCAGCCTTTCCTGACCCAGAGCCCTTCCACCTGCTCTCTGCAGCCCGAGAGAATGGCTTGTGGCAAAATTAGTCCATACTCCCCTTGCAGTACAAGGAAAGAGGTGGTGTAATGGCTCATCCCTGGTTTTGACTGTGTATGAGCAGAGGGTAGCTCTAAGGTAGCATTAACATTATCTTCAGTTTGGGGGGGAGGAAGGATGACTTCTTAGACATCTTGCAACTCCCACGCTGCCTGCTAGCACTACAAAGCGATACCCAGCCACATGCAGGCACCTGTCTGACACAGCACTAAAAGGTTTTCCTAGCTGCTCTTTGCACAGAGGTAGCGGAAAACCCAGAACACTTGGCAGCCTGCATACAGCTCAGGATCAAGACCCCATTCTTTCCTGGGAAAAGGCAAGAACAGCCATATGAAAGAAGAAGGGCTGTTTACTCTGCAGCTGCACCCTGACCCCCTCAGCCCCAAGGTCCCACTCACCCAGCAGCCACGGGGCACAGGATCCCACCAGCCCGCTCTTGGCAGAGTTGATGATGGACTCAGGCAGAGGGATGGAATGCCTCACCATGGCCCCGTAGAGGCCGTACTCGGCCATCACGCTGCTCCGGCCCCAGCACTTCTCCCGCTTCCGCCACTTGGCTCTTCGGTTCTGAAACCAAACCTTCAGGGGTAATAGCCAGGAGAGCACGGAGGGGTGGGAATGGGGAGGAGACAGTCCCCGTGGCAGGGTGTCCAGGGCCCATTGGGCACAGGGGATTGTGCATCCAGGGCAAAAGGGCAGCCGTGGAGGTGCATGGAGGGGTTTGGGTGTGACCGCAGGGTGCGGACACGCAGGCGTCACCGGGAGGGCAGCCAGGGTGGTGTATGGGGAGGGGTGTGAGGGAGGGCACACACGTGGGTGTCAGAGAGGGGAGGAAGGGGGGGAGAGGGAGCACATGTTAACATGAAGCTGATCGTGACGCAGGAGGGTGATTCCAGCCAAAGTCACCCTATACTACCCCTACCCGCAGGGCCTCTCTGTCTCATCCACGGAACACCAACCTCTTCAGGAAAAGGACTCCATAATGTAGTGACCAGTGATGACAGAGGGTGCTCAGGTCCCTCTCCATAACCCCTTCCTGTGTTTGAAGGCTTGAGGGGTGCAGATATAACTGAACTGCTGCCCAGAACACCATCCTGTTCTTAAGCCAACAAGCTGCTCCACAGTGGAGCAGGATCAGGCCCTAAAATGCCCTATGTCCCTCAAAGAGACAAGCTAGTGAGCAAGTTAGTGGGACACAGCTTGGCCCAGCAGCTCCTGAATTGCTCTCAGCTCCTGCCTGAGTGGGAGAACAGAGCCAAGCTGGCAGCAGTGAGCAGCTGCTGGGGCCAGCTCAGTCTCCTGGTTCTGTATGTCCATTTGGAGGCTGTTCTGTGCCAGTGGGCGGAAGCTGAGCTGCCCCCGCAGGCGCCCTCCAGCATTTCATTGCCACCACATTCTACCACCTGCACTCACTGCCACAGAGCAGAAGAGACAGCCAGGCACTGACAGCCCGCAGACTCCACGGGACAGAGAGGACCATCGCTGCCACCTACCTGTATCCTGTCCTCCGGCAACTCTGTCTTCATGGCCAGCATCTCCCGGGCATAGACGTCAGGGTAGTGCGCTTCATTGAAAGCCTTCTCCAGCTCCTCCAGCTGGTGAGCTGTGAACACCGTCCTGCCGAGGGGAGAGAGCATCCAGTGACACAGTCCAGATGCAAGCAGTGGGGCTGACAGCGCCCCCCCCCCCCGCTAAGGTTTTCCTCCAGAAAATCCTCCCTGCACCTCTGCTGCAGCCCTCCTTTTTCCTCCCTTGGGGATACCCACCGCCCCAGCATCACAGGAACAGCGGGAGGATGGCAGCAGAGAGGTGAGAACAGGGACAGCCGAGCTCCCGGGCTCTACCTGTGCCGGCGTTTCTTCCTCTTGATCTGGGAGGTGGACATCTTCATGTCGCTGGCGTCCCCAGACAGGCTGTCCTCATCTGGCAGCAGCATGCGGGAGGGGAAGAGTCACGTTCCCGTCGAGAGCGAAGGGACCAAACCCAGCTCCCCAAACACGGTTCCAGACGGCCGCAGGGAGCGGGCCCGGGGCAGGGAGGAGTCCCTTCCCACAGCCGAGACCGGGGCGCCACACCGGTGATGCCATCCCGGGGCAGGGGGTGGGAGCCCATCCTTGCCGGAGGGCCGGGACGGGGAGCATGGGAGCCGACCGCGGACCCGCGGGAGGATGCTGGCTGCGGCCGCAGTGCAAGACAGCCCCGGCAGTGGCTCCGGACGCGGGTCCCCTTGCGCGCCTGAGCGGCCACCCCCGACCCCGACCCCGCTCCCGCTCACCGGAGATGTTCTCCTTGTGGCGGCGGGCGGCAGGAGGCGGCCCGGGGGGCGGGCGGGGACCGCGGGCGGGCAGAAGCGGCAGAGGGGCGGGCAGCAGGCACGGGGCGCCCGGCCCCCCCAGGCCACACAGCAGCCCCAGCCCCAGCCCCAGCGCCCCGCCGCCCTCGTAGCCACTGGCGGTGGCAGCGGGAGTGGGCCCGGGGGGAGGCTGCAGCTCGGCTTCCAGCCCCAGCAGGTCGGTGATGGCGAAGCCCTTGGACCGCAGTCCTGCTCCTCCCGGCCGCGCCGCCGCCCCGGGTGCCACCGGTACGGGCACGGCCACCGGCCCCGCCGCCGCGCGTCCCCCCGACGGCTCCGCTCGGCCCGGCATCGCCGCCGCCACCTAGCCCGGTCCGGAGCGGGCACGGCTGTCCGCCGCCCTTTTTATCGTCCCGCCGCCGGCCCCGGCTCCAATCACACCCCGGGCCGGCGGGGGGGCGCTCCCAATCCCCGGATTAACGGCCCCAGCCCCCTCCCCGCCCGCACAGGCCCTGCGCCCCTCCCCCGACCCCCCGTCTTCCCCTCCCGCCGTCCACTCCCTCCGCTCCCCTCGGCCCCCGCCCCTTGGTCCTCACCATCCCCTTGCCGGGTCCCCTGCGGTCCCTTTCAGTCCCTCCCCGGGACGCCCCTCAGGGCCTGTCGAGCGCCGGCCCGGTCACACATAAATCCCCCTCACATTCCCATGGGTTCCCTCCCCCGGTCTTCTTCCAGGGATCCCCTGCTATGTCCCTATGTCCCCATATCCCATCTTCCACGGCTGGGCACTGCTGCCCCCAGTACCCCCACCCCACGCCATGACCCTTCAGTCCCACTTCCCAGATGGGACATTCCACCGGGCTCAACACCCCAAAGACGGGGATGAGAAGAGCCAGGGGTTATGGGGCAGGACCCTCCACGACCCCAGGTGCCTTGTCACCAGGGCAAGGGCCACCTCGAGGTGCCTGGCCTCTGTGCTCCCTTTTGCTCCCAGATTCTTGCACCTGGGCTGCAATTTTTTTTTCCCCTTCCCTTCATCTGTTGATGGAAATGATTTACAACCGGCTTACATGGGCTGCCTGATCCAGGCCTTCGTTGGATGGTCAGATTAACTGAGGGTCCTTCTGATAAAGATAATTACGAGGGGACTCTGCATTAACTTTGCATTATTAAAGAAAGACCCAAATCTCCCCTCGCAAGCTGTTCCCGGGATTAGTAGAACAATAACTTTCATTTAGGATAATTGCCGTGGCCGGCGCTGGGGGCTGGCGGGGGGGACCCTCTGGACCATCATGCTTGGCACCAAAGAAAGGCAAATGTGTGCGGGGAATGGGAGGTGTGGGGTGGTCACACTTCCAAACCCACCAGTTCGGGGTCCCCACGTGCTCAGGACGCTTGGGGCAGTGCCACCCAGGGCTGCCCCCTGCCCAGGCACAGAGCACCCCGGGGTCCCCTTGGGCACCTTCACTTCTCCAGAGTGGTTTTGCTTCAGTTTTGCTGGAATAGGAGACTTTCACTGCTAGGCAGGGAGGATCTGCCGCAGTAATTAGAAGCCATAATCCGGCCACCACCCACAACAAATTTCCTGTTCGAGCAGATATTAGTGGTTAAAACCCTAATTTTTTATGTTGTCCCAGAATCAGCTTGATTTCAGCAGTTTACATGGAGGCTGAGCTGTTGGGAGAGATGATGAAGCCTTAAATATGCATATGGCCTAGGCATTTGGAAAGTTTGGGGATAAAGCACGTATAATTGCTCCTAATCAGTTTATGAAACATAAAAGCTCAAACCCAAGAGAAAGCCGATAGATGCTGAGATGGAAATAGCGATTAAATCTCCCGGCGCTGGCGAGGTGGCCTGGATATGGCGCTGCTGCCTGGGGCGGAGGGTGACCAGGGCTGTGCCCCGGGGGATGGTGATGCACCAGCTCCTGGGACAGGGCTGTGGGATGGGGTGGGGGGACACGCCTGCTGCCATTACTGGCTCCCCCAGCCATGGTGAAGAGGGGCATCTCCACTGGTCCTTTGGACAATAAATCAGTTAAAGGATATCTTGATATATGCTCATCAGATAGGATTAGCTGGGATTAGACTAATCAGTAAATGTTTCTCTGCTCATTATTTTCCAGGGAAGATTTTCAGCTGATTCTCCGACGCCGAAAGATTATTAATCTCTTAAAGAGCAGAACATCAAACATCGCCCCTTGCTCTAATTTCCCTGGGGTTTGCCTGTGGGCAGGGTGCCTGTGCCAGCCGGCCCGACAGCCCGAGGGTTCTCCAGCACCCAAAATCTCCACGGGCCTCTACCAGAGCAGCCCAAGGCCACAACACCCGTCCCTGATGCAGTCTCATGTCCCAGGGGTGTGTGGTACCTGCAGCTGATGCTACACCCCCATCCCCTGCCCTCTGATCCCTGCTGCACCCTGCAGTACCAGGCACACAGAGAGGAGGGACAGTCCCTGAACAATCCCCTCCTCCCTGTGGCCACTCCACCACCATGTCAGACACCTGCTATGACCTGTATCACCCTAGGGGATGGATGCCACATGTGGTGGGATAGGTGCCTGAATCTGCCCCCCTCACACAGGAGGAACAAGCCTTGCAAGTCCTTGCAACATTCTGGCAGACCCTCCTCAGCTGAGGATGGCTCCTGAGCCAGCGGTTGGTGGGTTTTTATGAGTCCTTGTCTTTGCAGGGATATGAAGCTCAGGGAAAGCCCCAGAAGGATGTGGCACTGCAACCACCTGCTGTAGCGATGGGGGGGTGGTGGTAGCAAGGAAAAGGTATTGAAGGGTCTGGTTTAGGGGATTAGTAATGGGATAAGACAGCTTTCACCTCCCTGGTTTAGATATGAATCAGGTCAATAATAAAAGACCATCTGACAGTTTCAGGCAGCTTGGGGTGGAGAAGGCTCCCGTGCTCCAGGCTGGCTGGAGAACCCATCTCCAAAAGCCCAGCTCTTGCTGCACACTTGTCCATTGGACCTGCACCAGTAGTCACAGCCCGGTGCTTCCTGCCAGCTCCATACCACTCACCTGCATCAGCTCCTGGTAAACCAGCACGGGAGTAGGTTGGAGCCTAACCCCCAGGGATGATGTTGAAGCCACAGCCCTTGGGTGCCTGCTGTGTAGGGCAAGCTCAGCCAGCCTGCTGGTGGCCATGACAGACCTTGCAGGGGTGTAGGGTGGCCCAGAAGTGGAGCACAGCAGGGTAAGCAGCCAGCTAATGGTAACAGAGGCAGTTTGGAAGGGGTGGGAGCCTTGATAAGCATGAACAGAAGGGAAAGGGCTTTCATTCCACCTCCTCTGTGTCCTGCTGGGTATATGGGGATGATGTGAAAATGTTGCCTCTGACACATGGATGAAAAGGAACTGAGAAACAGCCCATAGTTAGGGGTGAAGGCAGCAAAGTTAGGTGTCTTGCAGCCGGTCATGTCTGTATTTTGCAAGATTAAATCCCCACCTCTGAGTTACAGGTGAGCTTCCTCCTTGAAATGTGGGCAATGAGACTTTCCTCAGGCTGCTGCCAGGGCTGAGTGCTGGATTGTGTGTGCACTTCTGGCCAGTTAGGAGTAGACACACATAATTGCCAAGTATCCTCCATTTTGGAGTGATGCAGATTTGCAGGGCAGGCAGCACAGACAGGTGAAATGAATGAGGAAACCTGTGCTCGCTGCACTGCTGGGCTGTGAGAAGTGCTTCATTTCTAGCTCAATTTAATGTGGGTGAAGCAAAAGGTTTGCAGGGTGAGCACAGCCACAGCTGGCCATTCACACCACCTGCTTAGTTCTGTGTAGCATTGCCAGCCAAGCTTACTGCAAGTGTGTTTTCAGCCTTAATTTGGCACGGGGGATCCCTTTCCATGTCCCACTCTGCATGCCCCAGAGACATCCCTATTAATTCCTCCGCACAGATTTCTGTCTTAAGGCATTTGCCTTTGATTAAAACCAGAAGAGCAGTCACAGTTTAAGTGGAGTTTAAGAGCAAACCATGTGCCAATGCACAGGGCGCTCACATCTGGAGTGTCGCAGATTTAATCAAACTGCTGGGAAGTGCCGCACGCAGACAGCTGTCACAGCAGCCTAGAGCCCATCTCCTAATTAATTCCTAACCAGTACGGGGCAAACAAATGGCCATCAAGGTGCTACACCTCCAACCTCAACTGAAGGTACAACAGGCGGTTGGTGAGCAAGGACAGCTCACCCCATGTATCTCCAGGAGTCATGTTCCTGCTCCTAGGGAGGAGACTACCACTTGTCCCAGAGGCGTAAACCCTTCTGTATGTATGGGAACAGGAGTGACAGAGTGTTCAGGAAGAAACCAGGATAGAGCAGGCACAACAGCTGTAGCTCTGATTTCTGGCTGCTCCTTCAGCTGGTACTTTTTGCTTTCACTCCTCTTGCTTCCTCCACACTTGTTGCTTTCTAGTACCATTTACCTGCCCATCTCACATCCCTGTGGGCAACTCCCTCTTGTCCTGTACAGGATGTGTGAGCTGGGACACAGCCCTCTCTGGAGATGCTCTTCCTGGTGGTACCAAGGGCCGTGCACCTGCCATAGGTCTTGGGCAAACTCTGTTTGCTTCCACAGCCTTACACAAAATCTGGGCAGTGGCAAAACAGGTCAGGTCCAGACTCGGTTCTCCTTGGTGCTCATTCACAGCTCATTAAAGCTAATTGAAATGACTACTAAAGCTGTCTATATGGGTGCTTGGAATCTCTGGGCACAAGGCACAGCTAGGCTGGGAATATCCAACTGTGAGGAGCCCCAAACTAGCCGATGGACTGTCCACTCCAATTAGCCCCACAAAGGAGCTATTATTCCTCCGCACTATGCTTGTCTGATTACTTTATCTTATTATTTTTTGATCATTCCTACAAAATGTGCTAATTAAACAGAAATCATCAAGTCAATTATTGAAACACTCATTAAAGCAGAAAAGAAAAGAAAATATCAGCAGAAGAAAAACGTCTGGGAGGCTCCCAAGCACACACAATAGCTGCCACATTCATTAAATCAGCATCTCCCAAAAGAGGGGTAGACATTGTCCCACTCTGCTCCGTGCCCTGGAAATGAAACTTCCCAAATGATGGAGT